ATTTGATATATTAACAAAAATTATAATATACGTTAACTTGAATAGACAAATAATTGTATAATTTTGAAATATTGTATATATATATATATATATGTGTGTGTTTATATCTATAACATATATATATATATATATTAAAATTATTAATTTATTAATAGGAGAGACTAAAATCGCATAATTATGATATTTGAAGGACTAAAATTATTCAATTAAAAATTAAAGGACTAAAATAATATTAAAATTATTCATGGATAGTACTGTGTAATTGACGAATGTGTTGAAAAATGATCACAACAGTGAGTGAAATCCCGAAATGATTATAACAGTGTGTGTCCATCAACCAAACCAACCAACGTAAAAATAATGCAATTCCAAGTCTGATCTCATGTCATGATAGCAAAGCAAGCGTTACTTCCCAAGTGTTGAATGAACACAATGAAATTCAATAACATGCCTACCCACATTAAACTCGTACGACTTTAATGACAATAAATAAACCTACACAATCTTTGCTTTCCCCATTGGTTTATTCATCACCATGGGCTACCCCCAACTTTGGCATAAAAAATAGATTAAAATTATGTGCATGTTTATAAAGTTATAAGTTAGGAGTAGTAAATAATCCAATATTCTTGGATTTTATAATTTAATTGGAGAGTAGGAAAAGAGAGATGAGGGTTCACCGCTTTGGGAAGACAAGGGGCGTTGGGTGAGAATGGAATTGCCCATGCCCCATGCCCCATGTCCCATGCATCAACAACACCTGTTCACCAACGTGTCTGTCACACAGAAGCGCGGGGAGGGAAACAAACCCCCCACTCACTCTAACCGCAAGGGAGTTGATTTTAAACCCAACCAGGGTTAGCCAGGCAGTTTATAAAGCATGCCGGAATGGAATCCAAAACCAAATCCAAAACCAAATAAAACCAAAACACCATGATGCTTGGGGAGACCCACCGCGCAAATCCAACCGTACACGTGCCACCGTGGCCGCTCCTCCACGAATCCACGCCGGAGATCTTTTCGCCCTACACTTTCCAAGAAGCGCTCAACGCGCTTCAGCACTACGACTCCACGGATGCTGAGTCAGACTCCGACCTTCCAACCAGGGAACCGGAAGTCCCGGTGGACGCATACTCATGCGATCATTTCCGCATGTTCGAGTTTAAGGTTCGGAGATGCGCGCGTGGCAGGTCGCACGACTGGACCGAGTGCCCCTACGCGCACCCCGGCGAGAAGGCGCGCCGCCGCGACCCCCGCAAGTACCACTACTCCGGCGCCGCCTGTCCCGATTTCCGAAAAGGGAGTTGCAAGAAGGGCGACGGCTGCGAGTACGCGCACGGGGTCTTCGAGTGCTGGCTCCACCCCGCCCGCTACCGGACTCAGCCCTGCAAGGACGGCACCTGTTGCCGCCGCCGCGTCTGCTTCTTCGCCCACACGCCCGAGCAGCTTCGGGTTCTGCCCCAGCAGAGCCCCCGCAGCGGCGACTCCTACGACGGGTCCCCTCTGCGACACGCGATGGAGTCCTCCTCCAAGGCGCTTCCTTTTCTGGAGTCCCCGCCCGTGGAGGCGAGCTCTCCGCCGATGTCGCCGTGTGTGAACGAGATGGTGGCCTCGCTGAGGAACCTGCAACTGGGAAAGGTGAAGTCTTTGCCTTCGTCTTGGAATGTTATGGGGTCTCCCAGTCCCAGAGGAGGCGGTTTTTTTAGCTTGCCTTCGACGCCGACGCAGGTTCCTGTCCGCGGCGGGGTGAACTTCTTTGAGGTTTGGGATCAGAGTTGCTCCGAGGAGCCCGTCATGGAGAGGGTGGAGTCTGGAAGAAGCTTAAGGGCCAGGATGTTTGAAAAATTGAGCAAAGAGAATTCCCTTGATGCCTCACCTTCACCCGATCTTGCCTGGGTTTCCGAGCTTGTCAGTCGTTGATTTGCTTTTTCTTATGCCATTTTCTGACTCTCTTAATCGAATGCGGCGTGATGAAGGTGATCACTTTTCTTTTGGAACAAGGACCCTCGTGTTTCTGTGAATAGCTTATTCTCAAGCTTTATGGGTGGAAGCCAGAGACTAGAATCGTTTTTCTTTTTGTTGGTTCATTTGCAAGAATCAAAAACCTCAACTTTTGTATAGCTAGCTGCGGATGATGAATTATATTATATTATTTCCACGTGTTAACTACTCTGTTTATTATCACTAATCTCATACCATTCATGTATAAATTTTTAAACATTGCAAACTTCTCTCCTTTAAATCTTTACGTAGGGTCCTATATATAATGGAAACTTGGACGAGAGGAAAATGAAAGCAAAACCGGAAGTGGAAGTAATTAAATTGGTAACGGAGCCAGAATCGAGATGAATAGGAGGGACGTGGAAATGAGAGAGGTTTGGTTTGGGCGATTGAACAAGCGAGTTATAGAATGGAAGGGCTACACTCTAGAGACTACAGGGGTTGAACGAGTCATAGAATTTGGCAGTGTGTGGGTTTGATTAATTTTATCTTCAGTGACGAGATCTACTTTGAAAGGGATGGGATAGATTGGAAACCTTGTGCTTTGGGCTCCTTTGTGTTGCTTGCGTGCTTAGGGTGGCAACCACGGAGCAAACTACCATTCTTCAATTCATATCAACAATTGACATGAACGGCTGATGCAAACATTTGCCCTTATAAGCTACTTCCGGATACATGGTCCCCCCTTGTTGGTACATGAACTGTAACCTCCTTTTAAGGACATCAACATTTTTATCAATATCAACTTGTAAAAATTAAGTTAATGAGATTTCTATTTCTTTTTCCGCATCAAAGAGTGTTTTCCAATCTATCATTAAAGATTATTTTCTTATAAAAATAATTAAAGTGGATTTTATCTTTTCTACCAAATGAAGACTAGTCCATTTTTTTTCCTTATTTTGTCAGGTTGGATTTTTCTCCCAAAGAAAGACTTCACCTGCTACTTACTTGGCTTGTAATTTGTATATCTTGGTACGCAGGACAGGTTAAGAACAGAAATATCTTAATTCAGTGAGGTCCGAATTTCTAATTTCTAAGGATTGAGTTAAGAGTTTAGGACAGTGTTATTTAATAGCCATTTTTTTTAGAAAAAGGGTCAAACTTAAGTTGCAAAACCCAAGTTTTACGGGTGAAATTAAAGGATAAATATATCCTTAATTATAGGTGTGCAATCACTCCTCTCTAATATTCTCACCCTATCCGGTGGAAGGTGATACAATAACTTCAGTGTCAGAGAGTATCTCTATCCTCTCTCATCTTTTTCAAGGTGCAGAGAAAACTTAATTGTTTTATGCTTGTAGTCTTGTACAAATCCAATTTAATTTTTATACAATGGAGGCCGTCCGTGAGAATAATAGAAGATTCATTACCACTCCAAGAATGTCAACAAGTAATAGAAAAACAGAATCATAGATCTCTACTCAACAGCTAGGTGTCTACTCAAACAAATAGATAAGAATTCTAATGAAATAGTTATAAAATATAATTTGATTAAAATGTTTATGAAAAATAAAGCTAGGATGGAGAGGAGAACTAATAATGGAAGCATGCAGTTATAGTGAAAACTGGAAGGAAAAGCTTGGTAGCATCCCCCGGGTTGAGGGAAGAGTGTTGGTTCCGGGGCAACAGGTATTTGCTTAGAGAAGAAAAGATATTATTATTTGAAAATGAATTATTAATACCACTTCAACAACAACAGACAAGATCATGGGGGTTGTTGCACTTTGGAGATAAGATTCTGATGGAATTGGAATTGACTAATAAAATATACATACATCATACCATACTATATTACAAGTGTGTATTAATCAAAATTACCCCTTGAAACTTGAAAGAGAATATTGATCATATCCTTGACACTATCCTAAAGACACAAGCCCACTAAGATAATAAAACCACTTTCTTGTGTTTTGGATTGGATTGAATATTGATACCTTCATATCGGTCTCTGGAATTTACTGTCGAACCCATCGTTTTCGCCACCCTATTCTTTAAATTAAAAAGGAACATATAATGTTAACTATAATAAAGTAAAATTAACGAGTCAACTCGGTTTGCCAAATCGTGGGACATGATTTGTAAATATTTAGCTTTTCTTAATAAGACTGTAAATATTTTCTATATATAAGAGACAGTTCTAGATAAGATGAATATAAGCGATAATGTTTTCTTTGCGATTAAATATTTAAACATTATCTTACTAGTTAATTCAGCACTCGGTAATTTATAAATGTGTAGCTTTAATCTTCTGTGCTTGATTCCTTATCCCTTCTCTTTTAATTGTATAGTCTAATGTGAACTTCCTCTTAAAAAAAAAAAAAAAAAAAAAGAGAGAGAGAGAGAACAGTTATCTATCACATACCAAGCCATATTCCCTTGTTTTTTCCATTTAGGGGATGTGAATGACTTTACTATGTGAACAGTTTCTTTCACAAGAATATCAACTTGCTATATGCTAGTTATCAAAATTGCTAGTAATCTACATTGTTTTTCCTGCTGCAGATATATTTTATATATCCATTTTCTTAGAATTTGTAATAATTGATTTTCGCTTAAGATAAGATGAGCTTAAAAAAAATTGTTATCACATTTGCTTATATAACTATTCACTCTGTACTTATATGTAAATAAATATTTGCTTTGTACTTATATATAAGCAAAAATACAATAAATTCACTCATTAAAAAAATAGTTAAGTTTATTTAATTTTATTGATTTTATATAAAAATTAAACTTTTCCCCCTAAATTATACTTAATAATATTTATTAAAAATAATAAATCTCATTTAATTTAAGGATAATTTTTTAGATACTAACATTAAATAGAGTCAAGTTAGTTAAAATTTACTTATATTTAAGTTAAAATTTTGTAGATCTTCTTTTACTTACATATAAATTTAGAGAAAATATGTATGTAGTGGTGAAAGTTGAAATATTATGCAGTGAATGCAATATTTTAGACTCAAACTTTATTAAAATTAATATTAATATTATTATTATTATTATTATTATAATTCTTATTTATCAAAAAAAAATATTGACTGTATTTAGTCTATTTTTTTTAAAACAAGAATAATTGGCTTATTATTATTATTATTTATACGAAATTTTATTGTAGTTATTATAATTCTTATAAAAAATATAGATCTGTCCTTTCTCTATTTTTTTTTTAACTTGAGAGTGATTAGCTTTTTCTTATTGTATATGTATATAGAAATTGCAATTCAGAAACTTTAATCAATAATCAAAACATGAGATGTGTGATGTCACACAAGTTTTTCAGAATTTAATAAGTTATTCTTGACGACAATCGAGATAATATGATTAGCAAGATTAATTTTCGTTTTGGACGGCGAGTGAAATAGAAAAAAAAATAAAAAAAAAATAGGAGTAATATAAATAGAATAAAAATTATACGTGTTTAGATGGATAGAAATAGAAAAGATGTAAAATAACTTCTCTCTTCTTATTTAAATAAATTAAAAAAATAGAAAATAAATATATATAAAAAATATATTGGTAATAGGTAAAAACTAGATTTCATAATAGACACGTAAAAATTAATAAAATTAAGTTTGAAAGTCCTTAATGACATTTTTGGGCTCACGGAAACAAAAGCCCACTACACTTTGCAAAACATATTAAGACATGAGGGAGATAGTTTTTTTTTTTTTTTTAATATGTGCAAATATATATTTTTAATTTTTTAAGAATTAATTCTAATTTAAATATATCTTTAAATTTAACGTCAATAGAAACCGAACTTAAATTTTTATGTTTTTACTACTCCTATATATATATATATATATATATATATATATATACTCAATTA